GAGTAGGCTTTGACTAGAAAAAAGTTTGCAATATTAATTTTGAGCAGCAATACTACAGTGTTAAATAAAAAATTTGTGGAATTATCTGGTAATCAAAAATTACTTTCATAAGCTTCTTCAATGCCCAAGCCATCTTGCTGAAATCACATCTCAGGTTGGTTCTGCACTGCAGGATGCAAAAATGTCTCGGTCATGACTCAATACCACTCACAAGTGATTGGTATTTCATTACCATTTTCATCTTCCAAAAAAATCATCTCCACAATTTTAACCCCTTGATCACTTGTGAATTGATCCATAGATAATTTCCCTATATTAATCTGAACTATTAAAAAAAAAAAATGTATGAAAACATTGACATTTTTAAGTACCCAGGTGAATTTTAGGATACATTGTATAATAGTTGTGTATTTGTGTAGCAACCCATCTTTAATGCATGTTTTGCCAAACAAGACTGGAAAAGTACTTTTGTTTAGATTTTTTATTATATTTTTTGTACGTAGACAAATTTTCTCTTTTCTTGATTTAATGCATATAAAAAATTGTCCAAAGCATTTTCAGTTAAACTATTTTCAAGGATTTTAGTACATCATGTTGAAACACCAGTTCCTGTACAATCATTGAAGTTAAGCAACATCAAGCCTAGTCAGTACCTTGATGGCTAACTGCTTGGGAATACTAGGTGATGTAACCTTGGATGTAAGATTAGTGTAATGGAAAAATGGCTCAGAATTGTTAATCAGAGAGCTGAGTTCCAATTCCATTTGGATTCATTATATTCACTTATATTATAATAAATGGTGCTATTGTAGATTACAAATTTCTGTAATTGTTCCCTTCCCTCATCTTCATCCTTAGTTTTCATTTATAAAGATTTGTTGAGACGTCAGATACACTTCTAAATATTCTTCATGATAACATATTTGAATTTGTCTCGATAATATCAACATATAGACTTGTAAGATCATGGTTAAATATTAATCTAAACCTGAAGAAAAATTGATTGCAATTTCTAGTGACTTGCTGGTGATAGTCATTATCAGTTTTAACTTTTAAAAAATTAACTCCGCTTTCAGAAAAGAATAAATAACTCGCTCTCTTTTTCTTTGCATCAAAAGTGAAGAAGGGTTCAAAAATAGAAATGATTACCAAAGGAGAAGAGAATGCAAAAAAAGAAAAGAAAAAGAAAGCAGTGTTTTATTTTGAATATATCATACTTGTAAAATATTGTTGTAGCATACCTACAGATGATAATGGATATGCCTCTATTCCCATAAATGCAGTAGTGAATACTGTATGTTGGTCTGCAGTTGGAGATTCATTGTGGAATTAACTTGACTCACTTCTAGCAGTTGACTACTTCTACATGCTGCTAGAAAATCTTATATGTATTGTTCTTGTCTGAAGTATTTTCATTCATTATCAACAAATATTTCCAAGGAGTGAAGGTAGTTAAAATACTAGCAGTGTCAAAGGGAAAACTGTTATTTGATACAGGTTTTTTTGTTTTTTTTTGCATGAATGTCCAAAATTGCCAAAATATCTTTGATCAAGAAAACACTTTTCTTAAAGGACAGTGGCTTTATTTTATATCAATATTAACTTAATAAATAAATTAATATTAACTTTAAAAATTTATCACTGGTTTCAGGAAAATAAATATCTATTATTGAGGTAAGAAACAGTTTAATTCTAAAAACATCTTTAATAATTCATTTTCATATTTATTTTTAAACTCATTTATTGATTTTAAGAACAGTGTATCCAGTCTTTAAAAGAAACTTGAAAGTTCAGTTTCATTATATGATATACACATCCCTGATAGATAATCTTAACTCCATAAAAGATGTTTTGGTTGAGCTGATGTAGACTGGCCGGTGGCATAAGACTTGAATTTTATTACTCTTTAGATGGCAAATTCCATTATTTACACCATCCATGTGTGTTGAGTTTCTTTGGAATAAAATGAATTATCTTCAAATTACTGATCTTTATTGACTACTTGATCCTTTCTTAAACTGATCTCATGTCTTTTGATCTGTTTAAACTTGATCATCTTGGTTCTGCAGAAAGTAAAAGTAGAATTCTTATCTCATGGCACTCTTGAAAAGGCAAGCAATGAAATGGTACTAAGCTATAGCATTTGATATTTTGGACTCACAGAGCTGACAAGTTGATCTCATAAAGGTATTGGTTCCATAGACCATTGGACTCAAAAGATCATGTTCTTGTAAAAGAAAAGATATACACAACATCTCAAATTAGAAGGCCTTTCCCAAATCCTTCCATGACAACCATAACTGCGCTATTCCCTGACATATCTAAAGAACAAATCTACCAAAGATGATGATTAATTTTGCATTTAAATTTCTGAAGATCCTCATTGACAGGAAAGCAAAAAGCCAGAAGAGTTCTAAAAGACAGGAAATGTGAGAGAATAATCTATTAGAATAGAACTTATGGTTATATCTATTTTAACAATAAAATGATGAGACCTAATTGCCAATCTAGTAATAGCCTTAAATTCAAGGTACTAAGGATTTCAAGATACTAGAGCAATTGACATGAAAATATTTATAGAAAATGCACAGGGAATCCACATCACAGCAGTGAGGAAAGTGATTGAAGTCGAGATGCCAGGTCAGGACTAATAAGGTTAGAGATTTCTTTGTTGAAAATCTTGAGATATAGAGCAAGAGCACCAGACTAGATGTGGTAGCAATATTCAACATATGGACAAATGGTAGATTTATAAATGTGAAAAATGGATTCTGTCAAGAGATATTGTCTGACATCACAGAGTGAATCAACTTTGTAAAGAGAAGACCTAGAAATTGATTCAACATAAACGTTCCACTTCAGTGGTGGAAACATGAGACCAAGAAGGCACAATGAGGAGCTCCGAAGGAGGCTGACATCAGGCATGCTGATGAATAGCAAAATTTGTATAAAAATTAAGAGGAAGAACCTAGTAAATTTTTAGAATGATCATACAATTTATGAAATATTAGTCACATTTAAGTTATAGTAATATTCAAAAACTCTTATAGTATTCTTGCATAAGTACATTTATTTATTTATTTATTTATTTATTCCTGATTATTGCTCTATTTTTAAATATTAAGCACATTAGTTACAAAATGTACTTGCCTTGAATGTGTCAGCCTCTAGAAATTTAGTGTTTGTTGTATTTTGCTATATACAGGGCATGATGGATAAATTGTCATCTAAATTACACAAAAATGAAAATAACACTGTCATCTCATATATTTTTAACAGATATATTTACCAAAATTACACAAAATATCTTGAAATACAAAAGAGTAAATTTATTTAATAAAATCACTATTGGCTTCAACCACAGCCTCTAGACGACTTTGGAATCTCCTGCAGCTTTTCTGGAAGGTATACTTTTTTAAAATGGTAAATGCTGCCATAATCCTTGTCATCAGTTCATCTTCAGTGTTACAAGGAGTTTTGTTGGTATCTCACTCAACTGTGCCCCACACATAATAATCAAGGGGGTTTCAGTCTGGGGAGTTAGGTGGCCAGATGTAAGTGGTGATTTGGTTGCAGAAATTGTCTTACAGCTATGACTGTGTTCTCCTGCTTGTCTCGTATGGTGCAGAGCCCTGTTGCCAGACATAGGTTCTTCCAGTAGCCACCCTCTTGACCCAGGGCAGAACAACCTCCTCAATGTACTTGACATAAGTCACTGTGTTGAGTCTGAGGCCCTTACCAACAACTTAGGCAGAGGGAGTTCTTTTCTTATCAGAACAATCAGTGAGTTTTCCAAGTTGCCGTACCTTCGTAATCACCATTAGATTCATCCAACTTTTTTCTGAATACTCTGTACTGTCCTTAGAGTGTCCAAACACTCTGTAATATAAGTATTGGAGCTTCTGGCACGAATGTTAAGCAGTACAGTACATTGTTTCCAAATTTCTGGTGGAGTGAATTGCATCATGGTTCACTTTTTTTCTCACAGATGGTGCCCAACTGACCCTACTATACTGTGTACTTGACAAAATCAAAAACAATTGCTTGCACTGTTGTTCTCATTTTGACATTTCTATTGTAATAAAAATGCTTTGGTCAATCCATTGTATAGCTATAGCGAAGAAAATGGCGACTTATCTTGTCAAACCAAGCGACAGTGCATCACATGTATCCTATGACAGACAAGAAAATTACTTACCAAAAAGAAGGGCATGTATTCCGCGTGACATGCTGAAGATGGAATATTTAGATTAAAAACAAGTCCATCACAGGAGTCTCTATAAAAGTATTTTGTTATGCAAAATACTTGGCGTCCTCTCCCAGTTGTCGACGAATGAAAAAAACTGCTCAGCCAATAAAAGCAGTTGGTGTTCTCAAATTGACAGGAATAACTGATGTATTTTGTCTACAACGTTTGTCGGTGAGTGAGTTATTTTTCTAACTGGTTACATGCATTGGAATTTGTGAGATAGTACCTGTGAATTGAGTTTTTGACATTTCTTTCTGCCCCCAATATTCGAGTCTGAACTTACAGTGATTTGTTCTCTGCATTGTGGAATTAATCTGTGACTGTTATGGGATCTTACCCATAATAATAATAATGGACTATTCCATACTTAATAAATACTGCACCTCAGGAGTAGGCAAAGAGTCAGTCAGTAGTAAAGTCAGTCAGTAGTTCAATTCGAGTCAAGAGTCAGGTCAGAGGCAGTCCTAAACAGAACACGTTCAGACAATTACTGCAAGACATTGGAATAGTGATACTGGTCGAGACTACATTGTTCTCTCTACTAAATCTGATTGTTCATACTAACACTTTCTACTTCTCTGTATATATTCCTGTCTGTAATATATCTGTGTTATTCCATACCTGTGTTCGAGTTCTTTATTGGTTCTACCTTGGACTATCACTGTGGTACAAGGAACCAGACCATAACAGTGACAAACATTTCCTTTGCTTTCAGAATGCTTACAATAGCCTTTTCTATAAGTACAATCCAATGAAAAAAGTAAGGATTTATTTTCTTTTCATGTAATGTCCACCAATATTGTAAAACAAATGATACTCATCAAATGATTACACCTCGGAGGAAGGGTTTGAGTGGATTGGCTAAAATATTGTGGCTGTAACAAACACAAAATAAAGAATGAATTCAGTAGTCCAATCAATATTTATTATTAATATTATTTATTAGATAAAGCATAGAAAATTATTCATTCATTCATTTTAGTATTGTAGCTGTGACAAAATCAATAAGACCATTGTGACATTAAAACAATCTTCCATAATAAAAGCAATGTTTGGTTGAATTTAGCTGGAGGTTTATTCTTCATTTTTAATTTAACTTGCCTACTAACAGAATAAGAGAATGAGAGAGATGAGGAAAAAGCAATACAATTTAAGTGGGGAGAAAAAGAATATAAAATGATATATTTAAAATATAATTTGCCTATGACTACTGTCATTTGATGTGAATTTAGAATATCTATCCATATATCTCAATTTGTTCACACATATCTATATATCTCAATCTGTTCACATGTATCTATCTCAATCTGTTCAAACCATTTATATATCTCAATCTGTTCACAGAGATATCATCTATCTATCTACAATCTGTTCACATGTATCTATCTATCTATCTATCTATCTATCTATCTAACAATCTATCTATCTATCTATCTATCTCAATCTGTAGAATATGTATCTATCTATCTATCTATCTAGATATTATTTATCTATCTATCTATCTCAATCTGTTCACAAGTATTATCTATCTATCTCAATCTCATTTATTCTATCTATCTATCTATCTATCTGTTCTATAAATCTATCTATCTATCTATCTCAATCTGTTAATTGAATATCTATTTCAATCTGTTCATTTGTACCTATCATATCTATCTGTTTCATGTATCTATCTATCAATCTATCTATCTATTAAGTTTAGCTCTGAATAACATCATTATCTATCTATCTCAAAATCTGTTTAATAATCTATCTATCTGTTCTATCTATCTATCTCAATCTGTTTATCTGTTAACATGTAAAGAATCTATCTATCTATCTATCTCAATCTGTTCACATGTATCTATCTATCTATCTCAATCTGTTCACATGTATCTATCTATCTATCTATCTATCTATCTATCTATCTATTTCAATCTGTTCACACGTATCTATCTCTCTCAATCTGTTCACACGTATCTATCTATGTCGTTTGATGGGTAATTTGTTGATATTTTATATTTTTGATTTTGTGGATTTTATTTTTTTATTTCATCAACTGCACAGTATAGAAGCATTAGTTGGGAAAACTGAGAGAGAGAAAAAGAGAGCACCATGATGCAATTCATTTCTCCAGGAATTTGGAAAAGGGATGCTGTACTGCTTGGCATTTGCACCAGAAGCTACAATTTGAACATTTCAGAATGTTTGGGTGTCAATCTGAGGATGGTGAAGAGAATTGGATGATATATTTAGTCAACATCAAGGTGTTTGGAGTGATCACTAGTGATGATTCATTCATCTTCTCTCAGGGCCTGAGACTCAACAGAATGGCCTACATCAAGTGCTTTGAAGAGGTAGTGTTGCCCTGGGTCAAGAGGGTGGCTGTTGGATGACCCCGTGTCTGGCAACAAGACTCTGCACCATGCCACACAATCAGGAGAAGCCAATCATGGCTAACAGACAATTTCTGTGACCAAATTACCCCTTACACCTGGCTACCAAACTCTCCAGACTGCAACTCACTTGATTATTATGTGTGGGGCATAGTTGAGCAAGAGCCCAACAAAACTCCTTGTAAGACCAAAGTTGAACTGATTGCAAAGAAAAGATTATGGCTGCATTCACCAACTTAAACAAGGAGACAGATCAGAAAAGTTGCAAATTTTTTTGAATTTGTCTGGAGGCCATGGTTGAAGCCAATGGCGATTTTATTGAATAAATTTATTTTCTAGTATTTCAAGATATTTTTGTGTAATTTTGGTAAATATATCTGTTTGAGATCCAGTGACAAGACCCAAAGAGTGTGAGTTCAATGTCCTCAAGGACACATGGCACAGTGGATAATGGCGTTAGTTAAATCCAGTGACAGGACCCAAAGAATGTGAGTTCAATACCTAATAAAGGCAGTGGAGAACTTTCAGAGGGAAATTAACAGGAGATAACTGATAACTGACATCCATTAAACATGGCATATGGAACTAGAACAGTCTACCCCAGTGAGCAAAATAAAGGGTTCAGTTCGACATTCCAACCACCTGAAGAAGGCCGGAGCATACAACGGCCGAAATGTTGTAATAAATATGGCAACAAAGATGAGGACAATAGTCCGAATAATGTAAACAATGTAGTAGTTTCATGTTGGATGTGCATTTTAGTCTAATTGGTACTGGCCCAAAATGAAAAACTGTCGATCCAAGTTTGAGTTCCAATCAGGTTCATTATATTCACTTAAGTGCAGACATATCTTCTGTTTTTAGTCAGTCAGAATCAAAGGACATGATCTCCCAAGTATGTATTTTGTGCGGCACTTGATTGAGTGTTTCATGTTACTCTCAGGATGATGTTCTAGTTCCATTAGTTCAAGGTCAAAGTACTTGGGCCCTGCACAAAATGAACCTTGCCACACGCTAACAATTTTCAATGTATTTTAAATGTTATTATTTTCTTCATTTGATAGTTTGAATTTTGTTTTTTCTTTGTGTTTGTATAGGTGCACATAAAGACTGCCACTGAATTTCATTGCACACTGACCAGGAGAATAAATAAAAAACAATGTAGAAATGAAAGAAAATAATTTTTGAAAATAAATGCTCAATCAATGAAACAATATTAAAACGGAAGAACAAAATGTAAAAAAGAAAAACAGTAATAATCTAAAAGAAAATTATTATAAGTATAAAATGTCAGAGGAAAATGATAATCCAATTATTGTTGGTTTTGGAGTTTTCTACAAATATGGTGCTTTTTTTAACTCTTAGAATTTTAAGTTGGATGACTTCTTCAGCTCTCGCCCCACACAGTTCGTTGTGACATTTAGATAGACACCTTCACGAATAAGGTATATGTAAGAATTAAAATGAATTTTTAAAAAAGAAAAAGCTTTCCTGAAGCTTTCAATTTAGCTTTAAATGAAAGCTAAAGGATTAAATTTACTGTACCTGATAAGCAAAATACTTTGGTGTATTTCAGCCAGAAATTATATTGATTGGAATAGACTTTCAATTTGTTTCTCAGTAAAATCGATAACATCAGCCATTTTTTTTAGACAGTTGTAAACTAAACTTAATTTTCCATTTTAAAAATCTTGCAAAAATAAAATATATATTTCTGAAACATTATTTTAGGAGAATTAGCAAATTTAAAGTTAAGTTAATCTGATTTGAAACACATATTACTTATAGCATAAACTCTTGTATACAAGCATTTCCTAACCATGGGGTCTTGTTTTTTTTTTTATGTGTTAATTGATTTATTGATGGCAGATTGACTGCCAAACATTTTCATAGTTAAGTATTGTGTAGAAGATAAATTTTGTTAAGATTTTGTTTTGTTTTTTTTACCTGTAAGGAAGGGACAACCCTTAAAATATGTGATCTTTCAAGCAAGAAAAGATTTATTGGTTTGTACATCCATATGACAGAAATTCTGCATCTATATACATATATAAAAACAAATTGAAATTCTTTTAAAAACAGTTGGGGGAGTCTTCAAATTGTAATAAGCTTTAAAATATATGAGTAGTAGATATATTTTTACTTAATAATAATAATCCCTAAGAATTATCTCATTGAAACTGAACTTTAAAAGATTCAAAAACTTTATAAATTATTTCATTTTAAATTGTAAAAAATTGCAAAAAAGGAAAAAAAAATCTTGTAAAAATTCATTTTCAGCAAAAAAATATTTTATTCAGACAATATTTTTTTTAATATATATTATTTATAAAAGCAATTAAAAGCTTCTCTAATTAAATAATTTCTTAGTTTTGTTGCGTTTTTTATTTTTCAATTCAGAACAGTTTTTTGGTATGATTGGGTCCAATTTTGCAAAAAAAGAAAAAACAATCGGTGATTTTTTTTTAAATCTTAAAAACTGCTTTTAACTAATATAGTCACTAAAAATTAATTATCTCGAATTTCTCAAGCTTTCATAAATTAAATAAGGGGGAGAAACAAATGTAAAATAAAAAATATTTTTACCAAGATTTCCTGATAAAAAAAAATTTCAAAAATAATTTCATTTGTTTGTGAATAAGTTCTGAAAATTTCATTAAAATCTGACAATTATTTCATTTTTGCAAGAATTTCCAAATTAATGTGTCTGTCTCTGCAAAAAAGTGGCTAAAATTTGCTGTGCTAAAAATTAGTACAACCGTTGACGTAAGAAAAACAAGATTTTTTAATAAAAATTTCGAATGTTTTAAAAAGGAGTAAAAAATTTAATAAAATAACCAAAATATACTTGGATTCTTCCTTTTAATAATAACGAAGATTTTGACGATAAAACTGTTTTCATTATGTTTGGAGCAGGTTTTAATCATGGTATGCTGATGTTTTAGCGATCTCTTGGAGGTACCTACATTTCTAGAAAGAAAAATGGAATTCTGTGGTGTGACCAGATAAAAAAAAAATTCAATTTCCTGATGGATTTTAGATTCTATTGGCTTGATTTGGTCAATGAGTACGTTGTGTTTCATTGTTTTCTAGGTGGTGGTTTTGGTAACTTTCAGACCACTTGGAAAAAACAATCATCACCTTCATTAACTCTCAGTTTAATACTACCAAATATCAAATTCTGGTGTTTGGAAGAACACAACGGTTTCAGAGCTACAGTATTAACATTATGAGTTGTCGAATATGTTCTCTATCCAGATGAGAGCCTGTGGGGGCATCCTTATTCATAAGGTTTACACAAGGATGAATGGGATTCAATAGTCAATGATCAATTGTGGAGACTGATGGAGATTTTACTAGAACTCATTTTTCAGATTATTTCTTCTTAAGGAAGTGTTCTATGTGCGTTCTATAATTTCCTGTCTTTTGTATTAAATTTTGTCTATTTCTCCTAAACCCTGTTCTGCCATCCATCTACACAAGCTTGGTAAGTAGGTTATATATTGTTTTACTATGTCACTTTTGTCTTCAAGATGTTCTGTGAGTACCAAATTTTCCAAGCCCTCTTTCGTCATGGGCTCTAGAAATTTCAATGGTCTCTTTCAGATGCTATAAGTGTCCCTTTTGTTTCCATTTTCTGTAAAACTTCATCATTGTTCACATGTTCATCAATGGTATTCTCAATATCTTTCTGTAGAAACCACATTTTTGCTGCTTCAAGTGTTTTCAGCTATGAGGACATTGTCCAGCATTTACTGCATATAGGTGGATTAATATTGTATAACAGTTCAGTTCTCTTTTCTTTCTCTTCTCTCTAAATACTTTGCTTTGCTTTTGAAAGGCATCTTTTGATGTTCCACTGTGCCTTTAGATTTTAGTCTCACACTTACCATCCTCTGTTAAAACACTTCTTAGATATTTAAATTGCTGTACTTGTAATTTACTAGTTGGTTCCTTTATACATTCTTGCAATTTATTTTTATTCCTTTCTTCCCACTTCCCTTCACTATCTACTGTAGAAGATCTTATAGTTTCATTTTTATGAGCTGCTATCAACACTGTGTCATCAGTATAGTTTTTCTTACCAGAATCTATCTTACATATTTATAAGTCTACCATTTGAATATTGCTGTCACATCTGATCTGGTGCTCCTGCTATATATTTAGATCCTTGATAATGTTCAAAAAAGAATCTGCAATATCACTGGTCCTGACCTGGCATCTTGGCTTCATTCACTTTTCCACCACTGTAATGTAGCTTTCCTGTGCTTTTTCTATAAATACTTTCTTGGTAATTGTTCTGATGAACTTTCCTCTTTTTTAAATGTTTCTATTTTTATTCCCATCTCCAGACAAATTGTACATATGAGAACTCATTAGGACGTTATAGAGAATACTTTGAGGTATTATGGTGGTTGTAGTAAGAATGGTAAATAAGAATGCATTGTTTTGATGTAAGGAATACTGTGGTATCTTTTGGCTCAGTAATAAAGCTAAGTTTAAAATAAGACAGACTAAAGATTAGCCTTCCCCTATCCCCCCTTTTGGCCTTGTGCCACATTTTTCTATTTTTCAAAATAAATATTACTCTCCTCTTTTTCATAGACT